CGGCCGATTCCGATCACTGGCTGGTCAATCGGTGCATCTCTAATTTTTAAGGGTTCAAGCACATGCTTAAACCCTATAGTAATTGTAAGGATTTTTTTTATTAGGGGTTCAAGCATTTAGTGCTGATTGTAAGGATTTGTATTATTATTATTATTATTATTATTATTATTATTATTATTATTATTATTCCACCCTAAAACTGTGCAGACCAAACCGTAAGACCTAGAGACTTGAAACTTGGCCAGATGGTAGAGCTCAATTTGGGGAGAGGTAGACAAAGACTCGTCCCAATCTGCCCATTGGGGGCGCTACAGCACTAAAAACAAAAATTTCAGAAATTTTTGGCCATAGCTCATACACCATTTATCATAGACTCAAAAAATTTATTTCCTTTGGATCCTTGGGTTAAAACAAAAAAACTGGCTACCGACGTATTCGCTCTACGAAGTCTGGTTTTTCCGCAAAATTGAGTTATGTCCAAAACCTACTTTTGCAAACTATTTCCTAGGTTTTCCACCCCAAAACCAGTGCAGAAATATTCTCTGGATGGTGAATATCAATAATTATCAAAAAATTTAACTTTTGAATCACGGTCGCAAAGGGGCAGTTTTCCGGAGATGGTCCTCGGGAGAATTTCCCCGCCTATGTGGAGTGGGTGCTGGCGAGCTGTGACCCCAGACCCAGAGCCCAGCCAAATACCACCCCGCTGCATGGAGCAACAGCCACCGCAGATGGAGAGCCAGAGCCCACCGCAACTGACGAACCATCGCCTAATGGAGCGACAGAGCTGAGGAGGCCATTTATGAACTGTTTGTCTGCCCTGAACTCTCTGTCTGTTCTGCCACAACCACAGAGGTCATTCCCCTGTCCCTAGCGCTCCCGGTGCTCCCACTGACAGTCACCAATTCCCACCCACCCTCCCTCTCCAACCATTTCTTCACCAGTCTTCACCATCGCCTCCGCCGTCTCCTGTCAGCCCCTCAGCTCATCCCCAGCCCACCATCTGTGATGTGGTTTTGGCACGGGTCTGCCAGTCTCCATTGGCGTCGTGGCTGGAGGATCCCTTGTCTCCGCCTCCAGCCTCTGAGTCCCGAACTCCGCCTTGGCCCGTCGACCCAGCAGCTCCGCCATGGATCCTAGCTCCCTCCTCTCCGCCGCAGCCCGTCAGTCCACCAGCTCCGCCGGGCTCCCTCATCCGTCCGGCTCCAAACTTGGTCAGTTGTCGACCCGCCATCCGGCTGCGCCTTGTCGATCCGTCTCACCGGCTCCATTGGGCCCCTCCCTCCCTCAAGCTCCACCTTGGTACTTTGTCGCTCCGGCTCCACCACGGCCTTTCGGATCCCCGCCTGCACCTCAGTCGCCTGAACCATCTGCTCCGCCATGGTCCTCCGGATCCTCTGCGTCGCCCTAGGCTCCTCTCCCACCTGCTCCGCCGCTGGCGGTCGGCCCCCTGGAGTCATCAGCCCTTCCTCAACCTTGGCTCCTCCCACCATTGGCTCTGGGTCCCACCTGGCTCCTTCTGCTCCAAGTCCCTCCTGTCTCCATCCTGGCTCCTCCCTACATCTGGTCCGCCATGGTTCCTCCTGTCTTCTCCCTGGCTCCTCTCACTGTCTTCGCCACCCTGTTTCCTCCTGTCTCCATCCTGTCTCCTCCTTCCATCAGATCCACCCTGGTCGTCTGCTTGCCTCTCTTTTCCTGACCCTCGCCCTCCTCCTGAACCCCTGCCCTCCCGCCACTGTTGGTCTATCTATGGCACGAGGTCATGCCTTTCCGGGAGGGGGGAGTTATGTCACAATATGGACCTTGTTTCTGTTCTCCAGTTTTGTTTCTTGACCTAGTTTTCTTTAGTTCCCTTGATTAGTTAATTCTGTTCACCTGTGTTCAATTAATTATCCTCATTTGGTCTGTGTATTTAAGTTGCTCCCTTTCAGTTCTTCCTGGCCGGTTATTGTTTAATGTTGAGTTTCTGCTTGTGCTTCCCAGTGTGTGTTTGGATCTCACTCTTCTCCTTGGATTATTATTAAATGCCACGAGGGCCACCTGACAACAGGTTGTTCCAGAGGTACTGCCCCATCTTTAATGAATAAGTGTTCTGCAAATTTTGCATTGAACTTGGTAAGATTTGAAAAGCAGTCGTCAGTAAATCACAAGCACACAATGAAAGATTGTGTTCTTGGTTGTGAACAACTCTCTTAATTGTGACTGTTACTATTTTTCCTCAGGAAACATCAAAAACATCTGTTGCTTGAAAGAAATGTTTTGCTAACTTCCATTTTGCTATGTAAAAAGTAAATTTCTTAGGATACTTGTTGCAGTGACATCGTTACTTTTTATACATGATGTAAAAAAAAAACAAAAAAACATTCACAGCAGTCTAGTACTATTAAGTAAAATTAAATTATTAAATAATAACTTATTATTAAATAAGACTCTTGAGCTATGAAAGTACAACCTCTAAACAAAAAATGTGAAAGTTCGAACAAGATTACTAGAAGAGAAATGGTAAATGAGTAGGTGGGTAGTAAGAGAACCAGTAGGCTCTTGTCTTTTTGGTTAGTGAACATTAGTTGTCCCACAGAGAGGAACAAAATTGAAGTTTTCTGACCCTGCCAAGTAAATTTATTATAGACTTGTATCCCTCCCACTCTGTCTGTCTCTGGCTTTTTTTTACGCTATGCCACTCTTCATATTTTCTCCTCAACACGATCTTTAGTCTATTTGTTGGTTATTCCTCTGTCCATTTATGTTGGATCACAAATCACAAAAGCCTATTTTATTCTTCATAAATAGGATTATAGTGCATTTCACAGTTTTTTTCTATCAAGTTCAACATGTAAACACACACCTCACTTGCTTTTTTTTGCTGTTGTGGCACTGTCTGTCACAGTCGTCGTCTCACTGTAGCACCTCTCACCATGCGCCTGTATCAAAGAACCATGAAGTATGACAGTGATTTTCAATGATTGATTAGAAACAGAGGTTGATTCCCACCCCCTGCCCTCCATCTCTTACAGTAAATGGTTTAGGCAATGTGTGTGTGTGTGTGTGAGCCACAGTCATTATTGACAGCTAGTGAAGTGAGTTGATAAGGTGAGCTGTATTCTTGTCAGTCAATAAGTTCTCATCTCTCATCCAGCTGAGGTAGGGAGTGTCAGGCCATCCATTTGTTGTCTTCATTGGATAAGAGCTCGGTCCTCATAATTGTCAACCCTAATACGTCAACACTCATTTAGCTAACCGGGAATCTTAAAAGAGATATATTTAGCTAAGAAGTGAGCATGCAGCCTACTGAACCAGTGTCAGGCCATCCATTTGTTGTCTTCATTGGATAAGAGCTCGGCCCTCATAATTGTCAACCCTAATACGTCAACACTCATTTAGCTAACCGGGAATCTTAAAAGAGATATATTTAGCTAAGAAGTGAGCATGCAGCCTACTGAACCTATAGCTGTGTTAAGGGAGCAGAGGTTTGAAAGAAACATTCTTTTAACAGTGAGTCAGACTATCTGTGATTACACTGTAAGGATATACAGTTTGAACCAGGGCAGGCCTGATTGTGCAAACAATAAATGCCACAGTTGCTAAAGGTCATAGAGTTACTCAAATCAATTGTTTATTCTTAAATTCTCAACTCAAACTCAAATGTTTTCAGAGTAGATCTCATTTTTAATATGGCACAAATATGAAAGAGCTTAGTATGTGAGAAATAACAGATGGGCCATTAATGTTCACTTGACTTATTCATGTGGCTATGATATTCCTAAAATGCTATATAACTTGGGCATTTTATTATGTAATCAAATCTGGAGCTACTTCATAGAAAATTAACATCTGGAGCTTGTGGCAGCCAATCAAAAGCGACTTATAAATGAGGACAATGGAAGCAATCAAAATCAACAAGAGACCAATTATATGCAAGTGCTATAACAAGTTTCAGTTAGCTTAATGCAGTACACGTAGCAAGTTTTTTTTTTTTTAATTATATAATAAATAAAAAGAAAACAGGTAGAATTAAAAAGGAATAGAGCAAGCTAGTGTTAGAGGCCTTTTTTTGCTTTTGTTAATTTTATAATAAATAAAAATAAAACAAATAGATAGAATACAAAAAGATTAGAGAAGCTAGTTTCTTTTTAAAGAAAACAAGCAGTTACTAAATGAATAGAGTGCAAGTCTAAAAGGGGCGTTTTTTTTTTAAAGAAAAGAATTAGAATAGAGAGTGCTAGAGTTAGAGGGTAAAATAAAGACGGAAGAGATGTGTTTTTAGCCAATTCTTGAAGATGGCTAAAGACTCAGCTGCTCGGATTGAGTTGGGCAGGTCATTCCACCAGGAGGGAACATTTAATTTAAAAGTCAGTGAAAGTGATTGTGTGACTCTTTGGGATGGCACAATAAAGCAACATTCACTTGCAGAACACGAGCTTCTAGAGGGCACATAAGTCTGAAGTAATGAACTTAGGTAAAGAGGTGCTGAGCCAGTGGTGGTTTTGTAGGCAAACATTAATGCTTTGAATTTTATGCGAGCAGCTATTGGTAGCCAGTGCAAATTAATAAACAGAGGTGTGACTTGCATTCTTTTCGGCTCATTAAAAATTAATCTTGCTGCCGCGTTCTGGATTAATGTAAAGGTTTGATAGAACTGGCTGGAAGACCTGCCAAGAGAGCATTGCAATAGTCCAGCCTGGACAGAACAAGAGCTTATTGTTTTAGTGTAACATAACAACAACAACATAAAGGTGGCCATCTCAGCTTAGAATTGAATAAAATTATTATGATGAAAAAAGGAAGAAGAGCGAGTTTGGCAAAAGGTGGATTCGAACTCTGGTTGACTGCATATGCTTTATCCACGAGCATTACTCTCTACGATTTGCACCACTGCAGACGCTGACTAACACTGTATAACGAGATAAAATGAACATGACACGAGTGTGTTTACTCTCAGCATTTTACTTCGACTTTATTCTCGTAATTTAATGAGTTTATTCTCAACAATTTATTTAGACTTTTTTCTTGAAATTTAACTAGTTGAATCTCACATTATAATGACTTTAATCTCAAGATGGTTTTACTTTCTTATTATTGCTTGGCCCTAATCCTCTTCCGTGCTTATGGTCAGCAAGGCTGCATTTATTTAATACAAAATGCAGTAAAACAATAATATTGTGAAATATTCTGACAATTTAATTGCAACTTTTTTGATATTTTAAAATGTAATTTATTCCTGTGAAATTAATATAATTGTGGAAACGGTGATACATTGATTTTCAGGATTCTTTAATAAATTGAAATTTCAGCATTTATTTGAACATTATAAATGTAAGTAACATTATAAATGTCTTTACTGTCACTTTAGTGCATTTTTGTCGAATTCAAGTAATCATTTGAAATATAAAACAAATTTTTTATTGGTAGTGCATATTCTTTGGTCATTTTTTGCCTTTATTGAATAGCACAGTTGAGCTACAGGCATGAAGTCATAGGAGAGGAGAGGGAAATAGGATTGGGAAAGGACCTCAGACTATTTGGGTCACCCGAAGAGATATGTTGTAGTGTAGCCAACAAGGCTAAAGCTCTATTATTAGTTCTTATAATAATGATCATAATTAGACATTCACTGAACATGTAAATGTGTGATCTTTAGGAAAGAAAGTGATGAAAATTAAATGTGACAGGTTTTCAAATTAATCTGGGTTTCAAAACTGAATAAGATGCACACACAGCCTTTCCTGAGAATAATTTGGCAACCTTATGACTTCTGTGTATGAGAGGGGTAGACTGGCCTGTTTTACACCCATCTCCTCATCAATGGAACCTTTGTGTGTTTCTGGCTCTGCCTTTGCTCAGCATGGTTCCATAGAGAGAACGAGAGATCAGGAAAGAACTAGAGAAAGAGAGATTGTGTTATACAAAAATAGCTTTTAAGAAACATTTCTCTTTCCGATATACCACTGTGATTGTGATGTGACAACAGCAACATATTTTCCTGTGTGGTTTGTGCCATTTCTTCATATTACACTGTCATAACTCAATAATAAAACAAACAAAAACAGACTCAAAAGACAGACTCTATAATACAACATCATGGTTTCATCGCAGATCAACATTCAGTACATCGACAAAGAAGCACATCCTTTTATGACAGAGAGAAGGAAGTGAGATCAAAGCAGTGAGATAACCTTATAGGGAGCAGGAATGAACACACCATTCTTTCAAAAGAAATGTTTTCACTCTGGAATCTGATTACATTGTCAGAACTATATGTTTTTGATTTGCTAAAAAGAACCGGCTCATTAGTATAATTTGTTCTGTGGACTACACACTTTTGTGTGTGTGTATTTTTAGGGGAGCAATGGCCTAATTAGAGAATATCCTCTAACTAACTTGCCTCTTTTGCTTGGTGTCTCATAGCCTAATGAAAAAAATGTTTCAGTTGATTCAAAATAAAAAATTTCTTTGTGCACAGAATCTTTAAAGTGTGCCATGTTATTTAATGGTTTTGGACATGGAGTTTGGAATCCTGGTTGTCATGTTATTTTTACAAGGTTTGGCTTGTAGGTTGGAATTCTGATTGTCATGGTGGCTTGTGAAAGGGGCCTTACGTCTGAATGGGACAGCTGAGAAACTAAGGATCAACAGCTGCACCTTCAAAGGCTTCAGTGTGTTACACGGTTTCACCCAAAGTCGTCTCCTTTCACACCGAAGCTCAAACATTCATCAGAGGAGCACAACACGCTAAAATACCTCTGCTAATCAACCAGTTTCCTTTTTCTTCTCTTCATCTGTCTCTCCCTGCTTGGTCCATCAGGAACTTTTTTTGGCCGGCATTTAGCTGGTTTAAATTATTCAGATTTTGGTCTTTAAAAAGGCACTCAAAGGTTGCCATCCAGCACAATACATCAGGTATTCCCAAGTTTTTTATGTCATCTGAACCCGTTTGACATAAAATATTTATTTAAAGTACCCCATGATATTTTAAGCTCATATTTCAGTAATATCACAACATTTGCAATAATTTAGAAGGGTTGCACTCACAAGAACATTTGAATGTTCATGGTTCTCTGTTGTCAGTTAGTGGTCATTTATCTTATTTTAATTTACTTTCTTTTATTCTTTACATTTTTTAAAAAGTTTTATTTTATAATTTTATTTTTATTTTTGTAAGTTTTATTTTTATTTGTTTTTATTTTCAAATTATTTATGGATTTAACAGGACTGTTAACTCATATGGCTGTTATTCACCAGTTGAAAAAAATCTCTATCTTTATACAACAGCATTTCGCCATCATTGATAAAGTGCTTAGTGGCGAGCCAATTAATGAATTTGGCCTGACTGAGAGCAGCTTTCTCATCAGGATGGGGGATGGAAAAGAGCAAGGAGCAGTGAGGAATGGGGGTGGATGGAAGGGTAATCCTGTTCCGGATAAACGGCTGATCCTTCTCATTCCTCAGATATCAAATGTCAGAAGTTAAATTAGCCTGCTAGCCCCTGATAGGAGTTAACATGCTTTTAAATGCGAGGGGAGGGGAAGGGGCCAGAGAATTCCAGCCCCTGTGGGAGAGCAGGCAGGTGCCTTTGAACTGTCTAATTATCCCACTCCTGTTAACTGTCTTAATAAAGCCTGCGCTGTCCCAGTCTCACTAGCTTGGATTTATTTACCCACAATCCTGTAATTGAGCAAAACAGCTACAGAGGAATTATACAGCTACAAACATAATACAGCAACTATAATTATTAATTAATATAATTATAATATAAATATAATTTTAATAATTATATTATAAGTGTAATTATTATAATTATTATTAATTGTTCACAGATGTTCTGAGGTTCAGCTTTACTACATTTCTAAGTCTAATGTTCAGAATATGTATGAAGATGTTTTCTTGACCTTTTACAGTTTTAAAAGCCTTGTGAAAAGGATGTGGTCTAGGCCAAGTGTAAATTTTGGCTTGCTGATTTGTGGTGAATTGTCCATAATCTGAGAGCCTCAGGCTTGGCCCTGATCTGTTTGCTGAGTGAGTGGAGGGATCTGCTAACGGTAAGGCACAGCAGAAAGCTGGCATATGCACAGGTCATTAGCCTCCGTCCACCCAAACCACACCAGCGTCTTAGCCAGCAATGGCGATCCCTCCAGAAACCAGAGTAAACACTGTTTCAGCATTTAATTTCTCTAAAATTGCAATCGTCAAATCTAATTTTCAAAACTTTTCCAGAGTTTTTGTCTACTGGAATGTATTTTTTTATTGAATAAAAATCTATATGTATCTATTTTTAATTTGTCTATTTTTTTTTACTAGAGTGAATTTAATATAAGTTTAAAACCAGATGAATTGCTTATTATGTGCACAAAGGAAACTTTTATTCCTTAGTGGTTGCTCTTTCAAAGATCAGAAGACTTGTTTTAGCTCAGGGGCCTCATTTATAAAATGTTGCATATAAACCATCCTAAATTTGTTCTAAGATAATTTCTCAAAAGTGCATAAGTGCGATTCAGAGAAAACGAACATGCACACAAAACGTGCCTCTCTTCCAGATGTGACATTTATAAATCGCAAATGATCTTGAAATTGTACACAGCTGAATGGTGTCAGATCTCCGCCTTGTAAACGCCCCCTAATTAATATCATTACCATATAAAAGAGCACACACCAATATCCGAATTTCTATGCTTGAGAATGACGAGCACAAAGAAAAAAAAACTTTACTGAGTCTGAAATTGAGGTCCTGCTGACGGAGGTAGAGGTTCGTGCGGGGACGCTTTTTATTTAATAATGTGTAATTATACTGTGGGCAAGTAATGTGTGTGTGGTTATATTTTTTCTGTTGACTATTATCAAAATTACTACTTCTAGAAACAACAGAAATAATAATAATAGTAATAATTATAATAATTATTATAAAACAATTAGGTTTCCAAAAGTAAGAATAAACTACGAATTCAAGTAAAATTTTCAGTCATCTTATAAAAAGTGAGTCATCCTACTTTTAAAATAACTTGCTATGACAACTAATAAAAAGTTTAGTATCACAAAATTCTTGCAAAGCTTTAAAAAACATTATTGAAAGAAAAATTGGACATTTCATATCATAATAAAATAAATTATTACACAATTATGGTCTCCGGTCTGAAAAAACCTGCATGTGATTTGGCATTTATTTATATTTACACAGTTTACTAATGCTGCTCAAATGTGCCATTAATGTACTGACACAAAAATATATAGTGTATTTTATACAAATATAACTGATGTAAATGACAAAAACAAAATTTAAGGCTGATGTCTCTACTCATTTTCACAGAAGCAAAGCAGCAGATGTTCTAAATAAAAACAGTTAACAATGTTATTGAATAGAATATATTAAAACCGTTACTGCACGACATAGGCCTATTCTTATAGGATTCACAGACAAAACAGTCGGAGATGTGTTTATGCATTTTTCTTTCCTATTTTACGCATTAGTAGTAAATCAAGACTTTGCAAGTTCTCTTGTAAAACAAAAAACAAAAAAACAAAAAAAACAATATGGAATAAACTGTGTAAAGAAAGCGAGTAAAGAACTCTCAACATTAGGCTACTAAAAAGATCAGTTTAAACTCCCGTTAATACAAATCTGACTACACAGCACAATTAATCTCTTACACTGCATCTTTGTTGTTTATGATGAATTCGGTGCTTGCACGTACACCGCTTTTATTATTATTGCAGCTTAGCTGTTCAAATAGCTGCGGTACTCCGACTTTGCCACAAGGAAAAGTGCGTACGCCTGTTCAGCCCCTGACGTGGCGGTAAGTACTTTTCCACATCAAAGACTGTTTTTATAAATATGAACGTTGACGTGGATTTTTGCATATGCACACTCTAAGGCCATGTCCACATGTACACAGGTATCACAATGGAGGTTTCCTTCCGTTTTAAAAAAAATCTCCGTCCACATAAAAAAATGCAAACGCATGCTATGAAGCACATGAAGAGCATGCCAAACCAACAGGTGGCGATATAATCTAAACCGTAAGGTCATGTTGGCCAATCAGAAGCCTGAAAAAGTTTCCAGTAGGTGGAGATAACAACGCAGGCTCTGACGTCACAAGCCAAAAATTCCGGTTTGGCGCTCTACACTATTTGCTTTTGCATGTGGATGAACGGCCAAACCGCATTGAAAAGGTTGGAGTTTTAAAAATAACCGCGTACGTGTGGACAGGGCCTATGATCAAATCTGTGCGTACGCACATTTTATAAATTAGGTTTTGTTTCATTTACATATCACAATAATTTCAGATGTTCCTTTTAAAATTCCCTTTTCTTTTTTTTTCTTTCCTGTTGTTTTGAAGACAAGATTTCACATATTCTGAATATTACAAAATGTAAATGTGGTGATTTTCAAAGCCATTTGATGAATAGCAAACCAAAAGTGTCATGACCTTTGACACCTTTTACGTTTGACATTTTGGTTTTCATGCATTTCGCAGGAAAATTGTGGCCATTTCCTGCTTTCAGCACCTTACCTGGTTTTGGTCCATACCTGCTAGCATCAATCATGCTCCATTATGTACTCTGATCAAGGCCTTGGATTGGCAAGTCAAATGCTTTAGCAGAGTTTGATGTGAGTATGAGCACTGCATCAGCGGCTTCAGAGAAAAGGCAAACTCTGAATAGCCCAAATGCACCATTGTCCCACCTCTGATAGCACTCTGCAGCTGGCACATGCTTTCTCCAGCACAATCATGTGCTCTTGAAGATATCTGAGTATCGAGACCAGCCTCTCAAAATGCTGGTGCTGCATCCAGAAGACCAGGGGGAGGAAAGAGACAAGGATCCCAGGGTGATTTCAAGTTTCTCTGTGATGCTGATTTGAGGTGAACATGGAGAAAAGGAAGAGGCCTTGACTTTGATTCATTGCATCCCAGCTTCTCACTACTGCTGGAAAGGGAATCAGGGACTTCCAGCATTCCCAGGTCTCCGTAGAGGCCTAGTGGAAGAATGTGCTACATGAGACTCTGGGATTCAGTGCGTACATATGCACAACCAAATTGAGATTGTTTGTTGATTTAGCAAAGATGCTTTTTAGTAGTTGACAGACACAATGACATAATTTATTCTCACTGCTGTGTTTCAGCACTGCTTCACAGTAGGAAATTTTTATTAAATGTGAAACATTCTGCATCACAGAATCTTAAAATGACTCTCTCTGATCTTGCCGTTTAAATTCCTGATGCTATTATCAGTTCCGTTTCTGTTTTTACTCTCATAACCTGAATTATTTGGCTCAAATAAAACATTCTGTGATTTTTCATTTAAAGATATAATCAGATTTTTTCCGTTGACAGTGCTTAGGCTATATTTAGAAAGGGTGTAGCCAATCTGGAGCCATCTGCAATTTGCAGTTTGCTTTTAAATCAGTTTGTATTTCCTCTTAGATTTATATATATATATATATATGAAAAAAAAACATATATATACAGTATATATATAAATAAATTTTTTCAGGATTAATTGATAAATGGAAAGTTAAAAAGATCACTATTTATTTGAAATAATGCAATTAATTAATTAATTTATTTATTCATATTCATATATTAATAAAAACAGTAATATTGTGAGATATCATTACAATTTAAAACAACAACTTTTACTGTCAATTTTGATCAATTTAATGCATCACTGCTGAAAAGTAGAAAATGTCTTACAGACTTCAAACTTTTGAAATGGTAAAAACAACTAAAAATTATATAGATATAGACTGGATTTCACAAATTAAAATATGAAAATATTAAAAAAAGAAAAAAGAAAATATTAGTGTGATGTGTAAATTAGATGTTTTCTTTTACCCTGTAATGTACCATTTCTGTATCACATACATATTGGCCTCCACAATAGGAAGTTGAACCCATCTTTGAGGACGTGTTGGTTTGGCATTAAACCTCTATTTTGATACTTGTTTTTAAAATCTCTATTCAGGTTTTTTCTACTCTCTTTTTCTCTTTTAAAATTCTGATTTATTTTTATTGTAAAGCACTTTGGATCAACTACGGTTGTGTTAAACTTGTGCTCTATAAATTAAATTAGCCTTACTTTGCCTTACCTCTTTGTGCCATATTTTGGCTCTTCTGAAACAGTATGGACAATTTAAATCATAAAAAAAAGTGTTATGGTCATTTGCGGTCTTAATAACCATTCATTTTCATAGTTTTATGAAGTGTGGTTTTATGTATTATATCAAGTTAATATCATGTTATTAATGCAATTTATTCAATTCATTTATTTATTTATTCATATTCATATATTACTAAATCAGTAAAATTGTGAGACATTATTACAATTTAAAATAACAGTTTATATATGTATCTTTTCAGGGTTACTTGATAAATGGAAAGTTCAAAAGAACAATATTTATTTGAAATAGAAATCTTTTGTATTATTGTATTATTATAAATGTCTTGGCTGTCAATTTTGATCAGTTTAATGCATCCTAGAAGAAGAAGAAGAAAAAAGCTTGCCTTACAGACCACAAACTATTATAAATATCAAAATTATATAGATATACTGTAAATTGCATGTATATGCACGAATATATATATATATATATATATATAAAATAAAATATTAGTGTGATGTGTAAATTAGATATTTTATTTTACCCTGTAATGTACCGACCATTTCTGTATCACATAGATTATTGGTCTCCTCAATGGGAAGTTGAACCCATCTTTGAGGATGTGTTGGTTTGGCATTAAACCTCTACTAGTGGGGGTTAAAGGATAAGTCTTTGAGAAGCTTTTTCCTTCCTACTGCATGGGGAGCCAAGAAGGAGGAATATCCCACACACTTTTAGTAATCCTCTTGCTCTTCTCTTCCTACCAAGTTTGGTTAAACTGTCTTTTTCTCAGTTTTGTTCCCCATCTCACTCTCTCTTTGGGTATTTTTACAAACAATTCTGCAGTATTTAGCACAGGTGCCAGGCTGACGAATCAGGTAAGCTTTTTGGAGAGGTGTCGTTATTATGCATGTGCCAAACACAGGAATATCTGCATCTTTTTCACATTGTTAATTGCATCTTCTCCTGTAAGTTGATTTGCAAGAGAAAGAAAGAAATAAGAGAGAAAAAGATAGAGGGATTACTTCAGGGGAGGAGGAAGATTAGAAGAAATGTTTTATTGTTTTCCACAAGATCCTCCATTCCTCCTCTAAAAGTTCCCACACATCAGCTCCACCTCCACCACAAGGTTCCCCAGCTGCACCAACCTCAACTCAACTATTGACAACAAACCCTTCAAAATATCTGCAGGTGGAGGTTCAGTCTTAACCTTTTGCTTTCTCTATATTTTTCCCTCAACAAAGCCCTCTCCCTCGCCGGAAACGATGTGCAACATTGTGCAACTTTGACATGAATGGCCTCTGTGCTACCCTGCTGCATTTTGACTGGCATGAGCTCAACGCTCAGCAGCAGGAGAGCCAGTTCAACATTGAGCGAGGTGAAAAATGATTGGCATGCATCGAAGAGAGGGCAGAGAGCTATAGGAAAAGAGGAAGATGGTTCTGCTTTTGGGCTCACCCTTAGACTAGCCCTCAACTTTAGAAGCTTTCATCCCACAGCCAGAAATATTCCTCACTGGTCACAAAAACATTTTTTTTTAATTTGAGCGTATTTAAGATACGCTATTAAACACCATTTAACAGTAATTGCAGCTACTGTATAAAGGACAAGTGCAATGATAGTGCAATACATTTGTGCAATAAATTTGTATTTAATGTAGTGTTAATCTAATGTTAAAAATAGGTTTGTCTGTCTTAGAGCGGCCAGGGTGGAAAAATAGCATCTCTCCGCCATAGTGACAACACTCTTATTCCATGGGTGGGAATTATTTGAATGAGTGACATTGTGACTTCCCAATATCCGGAAGAAGTTTATTGTAGTTCTTGAAAAGTGTTTTCTGTTAAAAAGAATATCTCCTTTTAGAGTGGACTTTGAGCTTTGTAACCTTGCAGATATTTTTTATTTTCAAACAGCAACATTACACACTAAATAAAGATGAAAAACTGAAAAGCATAGGATCCCTTTAATGAGTGATATGAGGCTATAATAAAAATTATTCTTCTAGAATGTCTCACTCTCAAATACAGTTGGGAAGTCTGATTTATTTTAGTGAATCAGTTAATTTTAATGAATGTAGTTAATCAGTTTGTTACGGGGCTGGCGAGACGTGAGACGTGCGGATCCAAGAGCAAAGCTTTATTAATAGACATGGTAGAGACAGGCAAGGGTCAGATAATGGCAACAGGTATGTAGGAGGCAAGACACAAGAATATATCCTAGGGCTAGCGTGGGTCTACGATCGGCGAACAGGATCAATAGGGCGAGACTAGAGAGTTAAGTCCAGGTGCAAGGCAAGGTCCAGGCAGGGGCAAACAGTATCAGAATAGGGCAAGACGAGAGGGGGAATCCGAGATACACAGGCGAAGATAAGGACACGAGGAAACAGACAAGGCGGAGCAGAAGACCACCAGAGCCAGACAGCAGACCACCACGGCAGAGCAGAAGACCACCAGAGCCAGACAGTAGACCACCAAGGCGGAGCAGAGGACCACCACGGCAGAGCAGACGGAACCGGGACCCATGGCAGAGACTGGGGCCTAGAGAAAACAGAGACAGACAACACAGGCAGTGCATTCCTGGTTTCAGGGACCAAGGCAGGGAACACAAGAAGCTCATCAAAGTTCTCTAGGGCAGTGACAGAGTTAAAGGGACAGACACGGAATGTATTATTATTCTCTGGGCTCATGACAGGCAGGTTTAAGGGTTCAAAGACGGGGTTTTGGGCTGTGACAGACAGACAGACCGTTTCAGGTGTGACAAATAAGGCAGAGAGTTCAGCAACAGCTTCTTTGGCTGGGTTGAGACAGGGTAATAGTTCGCAAATGGTCTCTTTAGCCATGACAGGACGGACAGAGAGTTCACAGATGACCTCCTTGGCCGGAACAGAACAGGCAGAGAGTTCACAGATGGCCTCCTTGGCCGTGACATGACGGACAGAGAGTTCACAGACGGCCTCATTGGCCGGAAACAAAAAAGGCAAAGAGTTCACAGACGGCCTCCATAACCGTGACAGGATGGACAGAGAGTTCACAGACGGCCTCCTTGGCCGGAACAGAACAGGCAGAGAGTTCACAGACGGCCTCTTTGGCCGGAACAGAACAGGCAAAGAGTTCACAGACGGCCTCCATAGCCGTGACAGGACGGGCAGAGAGTT